AGTTACTTATGTAGAGTCATAACCCAATACTCATTTTGTTATTCATACAGAAGAAAAAAGTAATGCAAACAATATATGTATGGCTAGGTCTAATGCCACTGAACATTTTGAGGTGTTGAAAGTGAAAATTATTCAAAAATGACTTAGTTATCACATCGTAGCCCAATCTGGGACAAATACGTTTTATGTTGCATTATTTTGAAATGGCCATTGCAGAAAAAAGCAGGCATGAAGAAAAATTCTGTTTCTGCGGTTTGGTGACATATTCAAGGCTCTATTTATGTCATATGCAAGATTTAGACTGTTTTTTTTTTTATTGACATATGCAGCATAGTTCGTGTGTGATTGACACACTCCTGCTGCTGTGGCCGAGGGCGCCAAATGTAAATAAATAAATAAATAAATAAATATATGTATGTCTTGGCAGGATGCCACTGAACATTTTGAAAGTTGAAAGTGAAAAAAAATTCAAAAGTGAAAAAAGTTGTCACACCTCAAAGTGCAACCAAATTTGGGACAAATACTTTAAACGTAACAATTTGTATTACTGCATACGGGTTAAGGAGGCAATAGGGGCAAACACAAATAGAATTTAAGCATAAATGACTCTCTCTTAATGCGATGGGTGGAAAACTCAACAAAGATACATGTAAAATTTGTTTGCAGGAATTCTGATATCTTCAGCACCCTGGATGGGCTAAACGGCAGATTCAAAGATTATGACATTGGAGCAGATTCAGGAGATGACCTTGAGGAAGAGAACTTCAACAAGTATATACATCACACTCTATTTTGATAGGTTGGTCAATATGCAGAGATGGGTACTTCCTATTTTGCCGTCCTCCATCTGCGACCTGAGCACCTACCGCCAACGTCCCTCCGTCCTGATTCATAAAATAATCGTCCTCCGTCCCTTTGAAGAGCTGGCACATAATTGGATATATTGTGAAACAATGTGGACCACTTTACATACAAAAAAATATATAAACTATGAACAGCGTGGACAACTTTACAATTTTTTTTTTTTTTCATGATCGGCCCTCGGCTGCTTCTCCTCCTCAAACTACACCTTGTAGGTGGGACACCCCATTTGGGACATGCTCCTCTTGAGGAAGACCAGCTTGTCAAAGATGGCGTTGCCAGGGCGGTCCTCTTTGGCCGGGGGATGTTACCGTTTGTTGGGAAAAAAAAAAAAAAAAAAAAAAAAAAAAAAACTTTCCACAGCAGCGGAGCTAAGGTGTGGGGTGTTGTATTTAATAAATAAGTCCACCAACGCCTCCGCTGGCGCATTCCCTATGCAGTACATGCGGTAGGCTACCAGGGGTTCGTCTAAAACGTTCCAAGGTAATTTTTGTCCTTAGCCCATTTCGCCCGAATACATTAAAATGAAATTTTGGCCAACTCGCTTCGGCGTCGAAAACCTACGTAATACGTCACACGCATACACAGACACACACACATGGTGTGGGATGGAACCGAGAGACATACAACACAGGCAGCTTTTTTTTCCAGCTGGATTGAATTGTTCACAACTATTTAAGTGTCAACCAAGATAGCATTTAGCTGCTAACACAACCACTGTCACTCACCGGACTAACTGGCGATGTGTAAACTTTTTTGGATGGGGGAAGAGGAAGAGTGAAGTCACCCCATCCTGCATACAAACACAGTGAACATGCACGAGACAAGCAACGCATCGGGATATTACACATTCGGTCTGAAGTAGTGTTTTGGCGGATTACCTACGCAAGACAGGTTGGCCATATTTCTGTCAGGCATCAGTGAATGTGTGTCTGTAGGTACTTCAGTCGGTTAGGGATGATTACATGGATAGACGAAAACCCACTTCTGTCCTTGCTTAGTCCATCCGGGAGGGAATGCCCACCTCTGTTAATATGGCTTTTATTTGATTCTTTACCGTTGCGAGCAATGATACTGCTTGGAGCCTATTCTTGGTATTGCCAGTTTACTTTCCATGCGATAGATACGTGTTTTACCTCCTTCCCTCTGTAGACTGTTTCCTTCCATTGTGAATGAGGAGGAGCGTCTGACCTACAAACAAGAGTTTGAACGGGATTACCATGAGTACAAGAGAATTCAAGCTGAGCTGGACAACATAAACCAGAAACTTGCTCATCTGGATGACGAACTGGACAAATATCCAGATAGCAGTCCACAGTTTCTGGTGAGAGTAAAAAAAAGGCGACTGCAGCCCTTCTCAAAATCAGGATTCGATGCTAATTTCATCTGGACCGTGCTCTAATTTGATGTGATAGAGTACCGTACATTGTCTTCCTTCTATCATGAACATTTCATACACACGCTTTATTTTGGACTATAATTACGGTATTCCGAGTAGAATAGACGGTGAAATCTATGTTACCTTACATCACTGCCATAACATTAAACAGTGCTGTGGTATTTGACATAACCATGCCGTTTAGTAAATCACAAATTAGCTACTCCAAATTAGCAAATTAATTAACAGACTCATACTCTCCCAGAGTTTCAACTTGTTTAGATTGAATATTTTCAGTCCTTTTTAACACTGCCATTCCCAACTGGACTAACATAATTTTGCATTTTGATTTAACCCAGAAGAGAAAATTAGTCGGGCGGCCCGATAGTCGATTGGTCAGCGCGTCGACCTCACAACGCAGAGATGCAGGGTTCGATTCGGGTCTGGCCTCCCTGTGTGGAGTTTGCATGTTCTCTCCGTGCCTGCGTGGGTTTTCTCCGGGTACTCCGGTCTCCTCCCACATTCCAAAAACATGCAGGCTAGCTCAAGTGAATCCTCAGAATTGTCCCTAGGTGTGAGTGTTTCATCGCTTGTTCTTTTATTTGCACATACTGTACTCCGACAGCCATTCCAACTTAAAAGAACCAGAGTTCATCTTTGTTGGTTTGGGGAGTCGACGTATCACATTCACTGCCCGCTCGTTTCGCAGTGATAAAGGGTTAGCATTAGCGTCATTTATCTCCGCCGCATTGTTATTGTTATGGATATGAGCAGAACACATGCGCAAGTACCATCAGTGCCGTGATTGGCTGCATAGCGTCATTGCATCTTAGCGTATGATTGACTGGACAACTTTCACTTACTGAATTACACAGCAAAATGATACAGAAAAAAAGTTATACAGCTTATTCATTTGCAGTGCGTTCACCGCGCTGGATAGGTTTCCTTGTGCGCTGAGAGTATGCGACCAGTACACAGTTGCGCACCTGGGTAGCTTAGAGGGAACATTGTTTCAGATGATCAAATTTTGGGGCCTTAGTCGCTCAAGAAATTTCCTAACTCAGCCTGAATACAAGTAGTACATCTGTAAATTTTAAAATGTGTTAGTCAGCGCAATGTATTGCTGTGTGAAAGGGACAAGCTATAATCATGTTTACGCTCCGTGAGAGAAAGCATTGGTGATGTAACTGCTCACAAATTAAAGTGCGGCACATGAACTGAAGGAAGGTTTGTCCTCAAATTTTGTTCATTCACTCGTTTTTCGTGAGCCGTGATAGTGCTGTACGGTACCTTTTAAAAAAAGCAGGTTGAGGGGGACTGAAAAAGGAAAACCATCCTAGTGAACCTTAGCGGCTGAAAAAGGCAGCCTCTTTTCACACATAAGAGAAATAAATTCAAGTCCCCATAAATGTAGCTACTGCAAAATAACCATTATTAAAATACAGTTGCACAATACTTGTGTATGAAGTGAATGATGTTGGCTAGAGCATGGTAATATACTGAACTTTAGTCAATTGGCAATTTCATCGTACACACTTTTGTGTAATGGTCCAATCACAAATTATTATCCTTATGTTTGCCATTTAAATTCATTTGCTCTTCAAATTTTATTTTCAGGATGCCATGGAACAGTACACTAGACTGAAGAATCTCAAGAAAGTAAGTCCTTTAACATGTCACGGGTGGGCTTTTTGTTTATAACATGACGTTGTTTCGCTTTTGTTGTTGCCTTTCTTTTCATTTCAGTCCTCCGATTACCAGATCAATAGGAAGCGGTGCAAATATCTCAGGTCCAAGCTGTCCCACATAAAAAGGATGATCAGTGACTACGACCATCGACCTTGAATACCTAGTTGCTCTTCAGGGAATGATGCAAACCCGCAGTGTCTTTTTTCTAATTTTTCAAGACTTGCCACAAGCCTACACAAAGAGAATATACTTTAAGAGTTAAGGTAGCTGGGTTTTGTGTGTTTTGAATTCATGAACTATGAAGAACAATAAGATGTAGATTTTTCATGTACTGTACATATAAGATATTCACTTTTATTTCAGGTAACATTTAAAGAATAATGCTTTTTTTTTAGGCAATTAAAATATACGTTCTTAAAAGCAGTCAGCATTTAAAATTAGTGACCAGCTCTTGTAAACAATATTTGATTTACAATTGTACATGTTTTTTCATTGTCATTTTTAACAGAACTGGATTAAAAGGTTTCACTAGATTTTGTTGTATTGTTTGTCATGAACTTGGATTTTTACTGGCTCACTCTCAGCTTTGTTTTCACTGCCTACTCATGTTTATGTTTTGTTATTGACACTCATAGAAAATTACATTTAAAAACCACTAAGAAAACTCATATGAAGAAAACAAATTCTGAGTACTGTATCGAATGCGAAAATGGAATAAGACAGATAATTTTTTGGGGAAAAGATTTAGGGAGCTGGTTTTCTTAATCTACCTTCGTTTCCTTATGCCTTAACCCATGTAAACAGTATTTGTTTCACAACTGTACATGTTTTTAATTGTAATTTTGAACTACGCTGAAATACAATGTTCCTCCAAATTTTGTTGCATGGACGGTCATGAGCTCGGATTTTTAATCGTACTGCCTAAATCTAAGCTTTCACATACTTGTTTATTTTTGGCGTGGACAATACTAGAAAATAAAATTAAAAATACACGAATAAAATATGAAGAAAATAATAAGAAGAGAATGTATGAATAGAAGACCAATGTGACACATTCGGAAGGTGCAATCACTTCTTTTGGAAAAGATTTAAGGAGCTGATTTTCTTAATCTACTTTGTCCTTTTGGTTTAACCCTATCAAGGGATTGTCACAGTGAATCAACCTCCTCTATCATTCCTGGTCCTCTGCATCTTCTGCTCTCAGGCCAGCCATCTGCAAGTCTTCCTGAACCACATCCATAAATCTCTTCTGTAGCGTGAGCTGGGTCTTGGAAAGTGGAACGTGAAATTATTTAATATAGAGATCGTGAGTAGGATGGCAACTACACATGAGCGGGATGACAAATGTGTATCAGTGTCACACAACACCGTGTATTACGAACTTGGAAAAACATTTTTTTTTTTTTTGGTCACAGTTTTGCAAATGCATCAGATGGTGCATGTTACAAACCAAGCATGAAGTCCAGGGCACAATTTGTACAGCACTAATAATTTCCACAATAGAAAATCAGTCAGCACCAAGATTTATGTGGACATCTCTACTTATGTCCACTTCAACTTCTGAAAATACCACACTGATCAGCCTCTCCGTTGCTCACTTATGAGAGAATGAGGAAATGAGCTCTTACTTTAAATTATCTGCATACCGCATCTGTTTTTATTCGATAAGTCCCCAAGATATGAACACAATGCATTCCTAGGATGTTAGTGATTAAATTTAAATCTTGAAGAATTCTCTTGACTGACTTTTTTCCTAGTCCACCTCCAGGTGGTACGCCTTTGCCACTGCATACTCAAAAATGATTGCACCTTAAAAACCCACACTTGTTTGGAAGGTCAGCCCCGTGGCTTAAGATTCATTCCTCCGAATTTTTCAAACTACATCCAACAAACCATCTTAGATGAGTTCCAGCCCATAGAAGCTGGTGACATTTCTGGGTGTTGTAAAAAAATTGCTTTTGCTTTACAATTAGAATTTTAAGTTGCACTTATGGATGTAACGCTGAACTGTGTTTACTGACATTGGTTTCTGAGGTGTTCCTGAGCCCATGTGGTGACATCCTTGACACGTTGATGCCGTTTTTTTTTTTTATTATTATTATTATTTTTTTATGCAGTGCCTCCTGGGGGATTAACTGTCACGGGCATTTAATGTTTTTTTTTTCGGCCTTGCCTCTTACATTTACTTCAGATTCTGTGAAGTTTTTCATGATATTATGAGCCATAGATGATGAAATCCGTAAATTCCTTGCAATTGTATGCGGAGGAATATTGTCCTTAAACTCTTTTTTTTCTACCTGTGCCCTCCGTGCACCTGGGGGAGCTGCAGAATCCAAGTGATTTGAATCTGGGGTCTAGAAGTGTTGCTAAGGTGAACACACTAATAGACTCCAGACTGGAAGCAGTGTCTGTGACTCGACGCTTTAGGTGTTTGTGGAGTTGTATGGCTGCCTGTGTGTACAAGGTTGAAGCGTGATGCTCAAGTGCATGTTAAAGCATTTTCATCATCGGGATGACCTTTGAACCAGACACTCGCCTCTCTTCAGACAACTTCACTGTAGCTTGATGGAATGGAGAGAGCACCAGTAGTGCTTCTCTTATGATGGTGAACTCATGAGCTGTCAGTGGAGTCAAATCTATCTTAAAGGAGGCCAAAGATACCCACAGTGGCTCCCTCTCATCATGCAGCCTTGACAGCATTTCTTAAGTACTGTTCCAGCGTGTTGGCACCTCGTTGATGAGTTTCAGGGTTGGCCGTCCCATCTGTTGCTGCACCTGAGCGAGCTTCTCCTGGGCTGTAGTGCTTGAATGTGACAAGGTGCCGAGCTTTGTTTCGAATGTCTGTAAGTGCAGGGACCTGATCGCATGATTTTGTAATGAATAAATTAAGACTGTGTGCAATGCAAATTGAGTGGTGAATTTGGAGGTGTCTAGTGGATGCGATCATGTTTGGTGCTGCGTCACTCACAAGACACTTTACTTGTTGGTTATAGCCCATTCCTCCATCATGTCCTTTTTGACCTCGGCCAAATTGTCAGCAGTGCGATTCTGTGGAAAGTATTGCACTCCCAACACTAGATGAACACAACTGCAGATTCGCATTAATGTAGTGACAGGTAAGTGCCAAGTCAGCCTCCATGTTCACAGAGGTCTACATGTCAGTTGTTATACTCACTGCCACAGTTTGCTGTACTTCCATTTTCACTTTTTCCCATTCCTCCGGATATTTGTTGGACACGGTTTTTTTGATGGTCTGAAAATTAAACCAAAAGCAAATAATACATTTAAATTACAGGCGATTCATCTCATCTACATCAACTACAACTTTCACACAGACCTTTCTTGTCAGCAAAACATATGAGGGTTCAAGGACCTGAATCGGTTCCTTGAACCCTTCACTCTCCACAATGCTGAAGGGCTGGCAGTCCTTGACAATGAAGTCCAGCAGTGCCTGATCGAGCAACTGCTTCCTGGAAGCTTGATTGTCAAACATGAAGTGGAGAGTAAACCAATAATAATTACTGATTGCCAATTAATCATCAACAAAGCAAATGTGAAAAGGTAAGAGAATGGCTGTATACCTGAAGTTATCCTGGGTGTATCTGGAACTACATTCTCATGCTCGGCCCGATAATGCCTCAGCATGGAGGAGGTGCTTTTGTTGGTAAATGATAATTCTGTATGGCAAGTTCAAATATGTGAAGAGTAAACTAAGAGTTACCTTGAAATTAATTTTAATTAGAATGGAACAAGACATGTCAAAAATCTGAGAGGCACTTTGTGAGACAAGGAGATTTGAATAAATACCTTATTCTCCAAAAGCAGACGAAAATGGTCCCACATGGCGGACAATTTGCGTTTCCCCGGGAGCTTCTCCATAATATGCATGTACTTCCACAATCATGGGTGAGGTTTGGATCGCGTCGGCAGGCGCATCGTGTCGACAGACGCACTTCCTCCTAAACAGTTTGGTGGGCTTTTGCGGCATCAACGCCCCCTGGACTGTGTCGACGCAGTTCATGCATCGGTCATGTGATTGTCTTGAAGCAGTAAGCGCACCGACGTGGGGATTGCTCTGTGAGATCGACGCGGGCGTCGACGCAACGGTGTTGCTGGACCCATCACTGATATATTTTCGTGTCCTGGACGATCAGGGAAAACAATCGTCTATGTCTGAACGATTTGTCACAATGCATTTTCAATTGCTCTTAAAAAAAACAAACAAACATATAATACAGGACACACTGTGACTGCTTACCATTTCTTGGTTTATTTTGAAAAGACAGCGACTTGTGTCAAATGAGAAATGTATCCAGTAAGTCCTGCTATATAAAATTATCACCCGCAAACAGAAGCACAGTAGCATACATATTTTTGCACGCATAGATCTCGATCTAAATAAGAGGCATAAAAATGTTTGACAGCAATTGATTACAAATAATAAAAGCTGCGTTCAAACGAAGTCCATCTTTCCTTTTTGCCCATTCTTGACGTAGAGCCATTCATTCCAAATCGACGAACCCATCAATTTACACAAATACAGTTTAATAAATAAAAAGATACGGTCTACTGTAATGTCATTTTGAGAACATTTGTGCAGATCTCAAAAGTCAAAATCAAAACTCAGGACTTTATCGTGAAAACAAATCACACGAGTAATATTATATGTATTCAATATCCATTCATTTTCTGAATCGCTTTTCCTTAATTAATATACTTTTACAGTAATCTTCTAGGCCACTCCTACAGGTTGACGTACGAGACGCCGTAACATAACCCGTTAAACTTGTGTGTAGGCATTATTTGGTATCAATTTTCTCACCACTTATTAAATTGCCTGCCATTTTGCTATTCAAAGATGGATATGCTCCGCTTAGACATGGTTCCAGCGAGATTTATGTGAAACTACTTAATCGCAATTAGCATGGTCCCAATTTCCCCCTACATTACTCCTTGTAATCCCTTCGTGAGAACGATACTTGGAAGAAGTGTATTTTATTTGCAGCCATGGAGGCGCGGGGTTACTGATTTTGGAGCGCAACAACAACGTGTGTACGTGTGGAAGTACTGTACCCAGTTGAAGCTTGTTGCTATAGCTAGCTGGTGCGGCTTCTCGCCTCAACATACCGACAACCCACTGACGTAAGCAGCCCAACAAAGCTCTTCGGAACAGTCTCCGCCATTCAATTATCAGCTAAAATAAATTTAAAAATCTGTCATTCCTAGTTTTATTCTTTGTGTTTTGATGAGGTTCAAAATGCAAACAACTATTCAAGACTTTTAAAGGAGCACCGCCAAACGCCTTGGGGGTGCTCTTTTTGTTTTTGTAAATAGTTATGAATAATTATGGGGGTTTTGTTTGGTAATTAGTTCCTAAAGTAGTACAACGTGATATTTGTGTTCACCCACTTTATTTATTTATTTTCGTTTACTGTTTTAGTTTGGCAGTGTACATCTGTTTTGTTTGATAACTATGTATTCTGATACACTTTCCTTTGTTTTTGCTCTGTCACCTAGTGGCAGCTGTGTGGCACAAGAATGGTAGGTGAAAGCTTTTGCCCATCAAATCAATCT